CTTGTTAACTCATTAAATCTTTTGTAACTTTTTCTGTAACATGTTGTCAGCCACACCCTATATAATGATAAATGCAGTTCAGTGGAAACACGTGTAAAATAAAATTCACTAGAACTAAAATAAAATAAAATCCTGACTTCACATATAGGGTGATGGTTTGTCAGCTATTATGACTGATCAGGAAAGGTATTAGGGTCATGGTGTACAATATGAATGTCACATGGTTGATGCAAATGGGAACAATCCATATGGGAATGTTCAGAAAACAAATTGAAGAGAAATAACTTATACAATAGTATTCTTTTTTTAAAAAAAAATCTATAAAACTGTCATACTTGGAATACATTTTATAGTTTTGGTCACTGATGCTCAAAAAGGATACTACAAAGGGTGGAAAAAGAGGCAAGTAAAGTTTTAATGTGGCTGATGAAGAAATATTGCTCCTCATGAAGAAATATTGCATTTTTAGCATTTTGTCTCCAAATTATTAATAAAATAGAATATGATTATTCATAGAAAGTGGACATTTGGAGGAGGAAAGCCACTAGTTTAAGGCGAATGACGAGAGATTCAGGTTGGAAAAAAGACATACTACTTCATGTATTTTCTAGTTAATTTGGAGTTTGCTTGTGCAGTATTTAGTGAAGGCAGTCAACTTGGAAAGCTTCCACCCTCATCCATTCCAGTCCCACAGAGTGACAATTTGCTACAGAAACCAAACAGAATTGGACCTACTGAACAGACATTTTACAACATTGTCATCCAAACAATAGTAAACAACACGCTTGAGTGTCAGCCACTTGGCATGTATTGGTTTATTTGCTTGGGGGGTGGATGACAAGGGAAAAAGAGTCCTAACAAGTCTTGGATGGCATCCTCTTTGTAATTTGCAATACGTTAAGCCCAACTTATGTCACTGTGACCCATTTTATGGCCATTGTGAAGCTTGGATTTCTATCCATTGCATAGCAACCAAAATACCACCCACCCACATTTAGGCATAGAGTACCCCCACTTTCCCACATGACAATTTCTGTGTACATGGGGAGCAGAGGGATCTGTCAGCAGATATCTGGCTATTTATTATAGCTGGATGTATTCCAACATGCATTCATAGTAATTTCCAGGGATCCTTGGGAGGTGCCATGCAGATGGCATCCTGGTAGCACATCCAGTTACAAGAAAATGGCTCAGTGTGTCTCTACTGACCCTTCTGCTCTACAATGACATGGAAATGGCTGTGTTGCAAAGAGCTGTCTTATTTCAATGGTGCAGTTTTAGCATTTTAGTGTAGGACTATGACTCTGAAGAACAGAGTTCAATTCCCTACTCAACCACGAAAACTCACTGGATAACTTTAGAATTGTAGAGTTGGAAGAAACTACAAGGGCCATACAGTTTGACTCTGTGTCATGCAGAAATACACAATCAAAACACTCCTGACAGATAGTCATTCAGTCTCTGTTAAAGAACTTCCAGAAAAGGAGACTCCACCCCACCCTGTAACAGCCATTTTCACTGTCAAACAGCTTCTACCATCAAGAAGTCTACCTCAATGGATTGTCACCAGGCCCGTAGCGAGGGGGGGGGGGGTTTAGGGGTTCAACCCCCCCCGAAATGTTTCAGATTTTTTTAAAAAAACCTGGTTTACTCATGAATTTTAACTGGTTAACCAAATCCCCATGCTAAGTCTATGAGATGCAAAAAATTAAGAGTCCCTCCAGAACTGCAAGCACTATCTCAAGCAAATATTAGCAATTTATTCACACTGTCATTACTTGCAGCAATAGCCGATGTAGTTGTTCTGGTACAGCTGTACCAGGAGCTCCAACTTTATTTGCTTTGTATTAAATGTTTGCTTGCAGTCCTAGGTTTCAGGGACTCTGCAGATAGGTGACTTCTTTGGTTGCAGTCATAGGGCAAGTCACCTGTCCATCATTGTTAAGTTTTGGTCCCGCCCCTTGCTCAGGGCAATTGGGAAGGGAAGGGAGCCATTTTAGTTAGTCTCAGCAAGGTAAGCTTATGTATAGGATGTGTGCAAGCTTCCCCTGTACAAAAGCTTCAACCCTTAAGACTTTCCGGGGGAGAAAGGTCTTAAGAGTCTCCAACGAATTTCCAGGAAAACAGCCCTAAAGACCAAGGAACTCCAGCTGAAGAACATCTACTGCCTTGCTGGTAGGTTCACTCGGCGTTCGAGACGCAGTTCGACCCGGTAGCAGAGCCCACATCAGGATTACAGTCAGCCTGGGAGAAGTTAAAACGGGGATTTTCCTTTAAAGAAGAAGTTATTGAAGACAGTTGCCTGTCCTTCGTGGGCAAGATTAGGAATTCACCAGTTGCCTAAAAGCTTGGAATCATTTGCTTAACTTTACTGAAGACAAGAGAAGTTTCTGTTTGATTGTTCATTCATAAAAGACTTTGTTGTACTTCTCAAGCCATCTAAAGACTGTTTGTGGTGGAAACTTCTGAGAACTTCTCTTTAGGCCCCCTGGCTTCCCGCTGGGCAAAGGTTGCACATCCTGTTCTAAAGACAATTATTTACAGGCCCAGCGCGCGACAGAACAGTAGTGAAGCAACCAAGTTGGGGGGGGGGGATGTTGAATGCTCTCATTAAGGAGGCCAGACTTGGTGGAGGTGGTTGACAAGGGCGGAGCTGCAGGCTATTGAAGGCTGCTCTGCCCCCTGCTGTGCTCTTGGCTTCAGCGTGAGCTAGGAGGCAGGTTTCAACCCCCCCCGTGAAATTTTCAACCCCCCCCCCCAAAAAAATTTCAACCCCTCCCGAAATTTTTTTCTGGCTACGGCCCTGATTGTCACCTTGTTGTGGTGAGGAAGCTTGAGTGTTCCAATGAACCTGCCGGCGTAACCATCTGAGTCACATTCAACTCCTGGAACGATTCCATCAGTGTTGCCTCCAAAAAATCCTGCAAATCTCTTGGAAAGACTGGTGGACAAATGTCTGTGCTGGAAGAAACAAAGATCACCAGCACTGAAGCAATGCTCCTACGCTATCAACTCTGCTGGACTCTGCAGATGTTTTGCCCACATCTATAGCAGGCATTCTCACAACCTCTGAGGATGCCTGCCATAGATGTGGGTGAAACGTCAGAAGAGAATGCTTCTTGAACATGGCCAAACAGCCCAGAAAATTCACAGCAACCCAGTGATTCCGGCCATGAAAGCCTTCGACACATAATAGAAAATGTTTCTTTAAAAAAGTAATAACATCTATTTACAATTAATTAGGCACTGTTTACAGTTAATTTGGCACAGCTTTGAAGATGGATTGGGCTTTTAATTTATTGATCTGTATTTTTAATCCTGTTATAAATGTTGTTGCGAATTGTGTTTCGTTGATTGCTATTACTTATGATAAGTTGTTGTATTGGAGTCCCCGGTGGTGCAATGAGTTAAACCCTTGTGCAGGCAGGATTGCTGATCGAAAGGTCGCCGGTTTGAATCCGGGGAGTGAAGTGAGCTCCCCTGTGTCAGTTCCAGCTTCTCATGTGGGGACATGAGAAGGCTCCCACAGCTTCTCATGTGGGGACATGAGAAGGCTCCCACAGGATGGTAAAAACATGTCTGGGTGTGCCCTGGGCAATGTCCTTGCAGATGGCCAATTCTCTCACACCAGAAGCAACTTGAAGTTTCTCAAATCGCTCCTGACACGAAAAGAAGTTATATTATTTGCTTTATTATGTATTTATATTTTTTTTGCTTTATTATGCATTTATATGTATTTGTATTTATAATTATTTGCTTTATTATGTATTTATATTTTTTTGTATTTGTGTGGCTTCGAATGGCTGCCATCCATGTTGTTAGCCGCTCTGTGTCCCAAAGGAAAGATGGGATGGGATACAAATAAAGTTGACTTGACTTGATATATAAATAGCACATTTCATTTTTTTCCTGCATTTCTTTTAAGCATCAGTGTTAATTCTCACATTTACAGATGGAGAGGGTGCCCTCTGCTGTTACTTCAAGGTTTTCACCAATGGAAATGGCAAAATGTTATATCTCTTGGGCTGGTGTGTGTATATATGTGTGTGTGTGTGTGTGTTATTGATACAGTGATACAGTGCTTAAAATGTACTGGGGTTGAGATTCAGAGTTGAGTTTTAGATGCATCTTACTTAGGCTGAGTAGCAAGATTGTTCACATTAAGTGATATTACAAGAATGTAATGCAAAGAATAGCACAAATGATTTTTGTAGTCATGATACCAATCACGAGTTTCCTCGTAAATACAGCATCGTTTTACTTTTTCATCCTATTGTGAAACTACTAAGTGTCATGTGACATTATTGTATTGCTTCCTCCCTTTATTCATGGTGACCAGTACCATAGAATGGGACAAAACTCCATGTTGGCATTTCTCCTACTAAAGGTTTTGGAGAAAGAAAAAGTAGCCTTATTTAGCAGTTCGAAAACATGCAAGTGTGAGCAGATCAATGGATACCGCTTCTGCAGGAAGGTAAGTAATAGCGTTCCATGTAGTCATCCCGGCCACATGACCTCGGAAGTGTCTACAGACAACGCTGGCTCTTCGGCTTAGAAATGGAGATCAACGCCACCCCCCAGAGTTGGACATGACTAAACTTAATGTCAGGTGAAACCTTTACCTTTTACTATGTCTCATTCTATTGTAAGCATTCATATAACATGGAAGTTTGAAACTCAGCTTTTGTACTTTTTTCTGTGTCAGGGAGTGACTTGAGAAACTGCAAGTTGCTTCTGGAGCCTCCGGTGGTGCAATGGGTTAAAACCTTGTGCCAGCAGGACTGAAGATTGACAGGTCGGAGATTCGAATCCGAGGAGAGTGCAGATAAGCTCCCTCTGTCAGCTCCAGCTCCCCATGCGGGGACATGCAAGAAGCCTCTCACAAGGTTGGTAAAGCATCAAAACAATCAGGCAACATCCTTGCAGATGGCCAATTCTCTCACAGCAAAAGCAACTTGCAGCTTTTGTAATGCATTCATTAAATACAAGCTTGATCAAACTCTGAAGAACAGATTTTATTTGGCTTTTCTTTTAAAATAAGAGGTTTGTACACTGTGAGGTCACATTACATGACCAGTCCTGAAATGAAGTCTGTTTCACATATTGCTACACTTCACTGTAACGGAAGATCTACTGAGATTTTCATATGGTGTCTCTAGATAACATACCGATTTGTAGGAAAAGCTGGAACGAATATTAATGGAGTCATACAAAAAAGCCGCGAGGATCAATGCCAAAACAAAACAAAACCACACCAAAAGGTAAGTTATTTTCAGAATATTCACAGAATGGCTATACTACGCCAGCGTATTATAATTAACAACTTAGCACCTAGTTTTAATAACCTGCCACCCATTTTGAAAGAAAAATCTATTACGCTGAAGAAATGAAGCTCTCAAAAAGTGATATTGTATTAATTCCTCGAGAATACGCACTACTAAGGAGGAGTTATTTTGCCGTTAACAAATATTGTCAAGACTAAAAATATCTATGCACAGGGATGTTTCTTTCTGAAAGAATTAATTTGCAAATACTCAGCTCTAACATGAAAAATGATGACGGACAACTGCTGGTCAAGTTGTATTCTGCATGCAGTTTCGGATATTCACAGTAGGCCAAAATTCAACCATGTCATCTCCCTTCCGAGCATTTTGAAGCACTGACTTTAGCTCTTTTCGGGTCTCAGAAGCAGCAATGGTCTGCATGGGTCTGTGTGGGCAAGTTGTTGTCAGCTCTTTGCTTTGCCGATTGTGAAGGTGGCATCTGGTCTTCACAGCAGGAGAGTTTCAGCTCCGCACACCTTTCAGTGTTCTCTTGCCGCTTCGCTCTGAGCCTGTGTTTTGTGCTTAGAGGAGCAGGATGGCCAAATGGGTTATACATACTTATTGGTCCTTCGTAGGTACCGTTTCCATTACAAAGCGGAGTTCAAGAAATCAAGAAGTTCAGCACGGTTTCGATCACGCTGGAAATGAAAAACAATTTCATATACGATTTCAGTAGATCTTTTGTACAATTTGCAGCTTATGCTCACATACAATGAATCTCTACAGCAAGAGTTCATTGGTTAACCTATAAGTCCCAGAATGTATTTATTTATTTATTACAATATTTGTATACCGCCCTTCTGAGCCCTCAAACAACTCAGGACGGTTTACAGAGGCAATGATTCGATCCCCAAGAACATCATAAAACATTTAATACAATAATACATAGTATAAAACCAACAAAAGTAATAAAAACATAAGCCATTTGCGTCTCCTAATTAAAATTCCTCATCATTAGTAGTGCTGGCAAGGGCTTCTGGAAACACAGGACCGGGGACTTTCCAAGGGCCTTCCAGAAATCCTGGAGAATTAAGACAGTGCTTTTTGTTCAGCTATATGTGTCCAGAGGAGAGTGACTAAAATGATCAAGGGTCTGGAGAACAAGCTCTATGAGGAGCTGCTTAAAGAGCTGAGCATGTTTAGCCTTCAGAAGAGAACGCTGAGAGGAGACATGATAGCCATTTATAAATATGTGAGAGGAAGTCACAGGGAGGAGGGAGCAAGCTTGTTTTCTGCTTCCCTGTAGACTAGGACGCAGAACAATGGCTTCAAACTACAAGAAAGGAGATTCCACCTAAACATTAAGAAGAACTTCCTGACTGTGAGAGCTGTTCAGCAGTGGAACTCTCTGCCCTGGAGTGTGGTGGAGGCTCCTTCTCTGAAGGCTTTTAAACAGAGGCTGGATGGCCATCTGTTAGGGGTGCTGTGAATGCTATATTCCTGCTTCTTGGCAGGGGGTTGGACTGAATGGCCACAATTCGTAAGAGCCTACTGGCTGTTAGGAATTGTGGGAGTTGCAGTCCAAAACACCTGGAGGGGCAAAGTTTGCCCATGCCTGAGCTTACCCTTTAACTGCCATAGCGACATAGCTGGACACTTCTCCATGTCCCCCACTCTCTATTGGCCAGAACATGGCCATGTTTGCAGGGAGCTCCAGCAGCTTAAAAGTTGGGTCTGGGGGCCACTTTGGTTACTGCAAAATATATAGTGAATTATGATTTCTGCAAAGACCAAACATGTGAATTACACTGGTCTAAGTGTTATCGAAGGCTTTCATGGCTGGAATCACTGGGTTGCTGTGATTTTTCTGGGCTGTATCGCTATGTTCCAGAAGAATTCTTGCCTGATGTTTCACCCACATTTATGGCAGATATCCTCAGAGGCTGTGAGGTCTGTTGGAAACTAGGAAAGTGGGGTTTATATAGCTGTGGAATGACCAGGGTGGGAGAAAGAACTCTTGTCTGATTGAAGCTGATGTGAATGTTGCAATTGGCAAGGTTGATTAGCATTGAATAGCCTTACAGCTGCAAAGCCTGGCTGCTTCCTGTCTGGGGGAATATTTTGTTTGGAGGTGTTAGCTGGCCCTTATTGTTTCCTGTCCGGAATTCCCCTCCTTTTTAAGTATTGTTCTTTAGCACCTTTAGAACCTCAAACTAATTTAAAATCAAAGGTCTAAACACTTTTAAATACAACTAGAATGCAGTAAATTTTGCTGTAATAGTTTTAGGAAGAAATATAAAAATATATGAACATTACCTCTTTATCCTTTTTACTCTTCTTTATTTTCATCTTAATTTTTTTTCCTGTGATCATACTGTAGTTTTGATTCTTCCTTTTATCTTTCAAGTACTAAAATAAAAAAGGATAATTCAGAAACAAACAAACATGCACCAGTTTACATTATTCATTGTAATAATAATTTATTAACCATCTTTCCCAGAAATACCTGTGGCCTATTTAATGTCAGAGCAAAGCAAGCATGTGAAAAATGTGTAATGAATAAACCTCTTGAGTAAAAAAGAGCAGGAAAATAGAAGCTACAACAAGCAGAAGTAACTAAACAAACAAGAAGACTGGTCTCATGGCAACACCAGCACGAAAAATCAAGGGAAAATTAATAAAGGTTAACCATATGAATGACTAACACTACAAGAAGCAGAACAGATGTGACCTTGATCTAATGAAAGACTGTTGTGAGCCTCTGATAGGAGGAAGGAACATACATTTAATGGATATTGTTTAAAAAGCAGAAAACGGTAAATGGTCAGAAGTGTTCAACAGCCTTTTAGTATTTTCAAATTGTTTTAATTTCTAAATCTGCAACATTTGCAGATATACAGAAGAATTATGATTCGTCTTTGTTGTTGTCATGTATGTTCAAGCATATTATGGGTCTTTTTCTGAAAGTATGTAACTCCTCCAAGGTCACCTAGAGAGTTTCAATGGCTGAGCAGAAGACCAAGCCTTTGTTTTGAAAGTTGTAGCTCAATATCAGTGGTCCCCAATCCTTTTTTTTGACCAGGGACTACTGTGACCAGGGAGCACTCTCCAACATTAGTACCAAAAGGGTTACAAATCCATTTTAGATTCAGTTTGGTTATTTGGGGTGCCGATTCAGAAAATTGCACTGGATAGACCATATCAGCTTTAGTTTCTGATACAGAACATATGCTACCCAGTAGTCACCATCTGCTCACTCATAGAAAACCCTATTTAATAAGCCTTGGCACTATAAGAGGGTTTTGTGAGACCAGTCACTCTTGTTGCAATGGTATAGTAACTGTGAGGTTGCTATTAGAACCATATTTTAGTTCTTGCAGACCACTGATGGTCCACAGACCACAGGTTGGGAACCATTGCACTATATCATGCTGACTCCCTTTCACAGGAAGAAAAATCTAGCTCTGCAAGTATGGGAAGACTAATGACAAATTAGGAGAAAATAAGAATGGAAGCGTTATGAGATCTCATAAAAATGATCAAGAGTTCAGCACCAGCGATTAAACCAGTAAGTCAACTCAACCTGGTTATACTAATACCAAAAGCACAAATCAAATTTGTTAAGGAGTTTATCTTAAGGCTCATTTTGTTGAACCACCTCTGACAGTGTGGGGTTGTGATTAGGATTAACAAATGAAGAAGCATGAAATTTGTTATGAAAATGACTGAATGACTTTGGGGCAGAGACACACTATCAGACTAAGGGGAAAAAAGGTCAGTATTTCACTTACCTTAGAAAGCTGGACAGGGCCAGACTTATCTTTCTTTCTTTTCTTTTCTTTCTTTTTCTTCAACTTATCTTTTTTCCTCTTCTGAAACCAGAAAAGGCATTTTTTTAAAAAACAAAGATATGCTCATAAGCTACCAATGCAAAGACTTGCACACAGTCTGAAGAGTTAAAGGACAAAGTTCAAAAAAGTAACTTTCCTAAATCCTGGTGTTTGCTGAGTATGAAGGTGGCCAGCCTTGTAATCTGCACGAGTTTGGTGCTCCAGTGTCCTTAGTCCTTACATCGTGGCTCCTTTTAGGAATTAAAGCTAACACCACAATGCCAGTAACATGCAAAACCCCTACTGACATCAATTCTAGGGAAGATTTTGGAGTAGGTCATTAAGGAGGAAGCGTGCAATCACTTAGAAAACAATGCTGTAATCACTAAAATTCAACATGGATTTATCAAAAACAAGTCATGACAGACCAAATTTATCTCTCTTTTTTTGATAGAGATACAAGCTTGGTAGATGCAGCGAATGCTGTGGATGTAGCATATCTTGATTTCAGTAAGGCCTTCAACAAAGTCCCCCATGACCTTCTTGCAAACAAACTAGTCAAATGTGGGCTAGGCAATGCTACTGTATTTGTAATTTGTTAAACGACCAAAACCAAAGAGTGCTCATCAATGGTTCCTCTTCATCCTGGAAAGAAGTGACGAATGGAGTGCCACGGGGTTCAGTTCTGGGCCCATTACTGTTCAACATCTTTATCAATGACTTGGATGAAGGTTTAGAGCAGTGGTTTTCAATTTGTGGGTCCCCAGATGTTTTGGCAAACAACTCTCAGAAATCTTTACAGCTGGTAAACTGGCTGGGATTTCTGGGAGTTGTAGCCCAAAACATCTGGGGACCCACTGGTTGAGAACTACTGGTTTAGAGGGCATGCTTATCAAGGCTGCAGATGACTCCAGATTGGAAGGGATACTCCAGAGGGCGGGATCGGAATTCAAAATGACTGCAGCAGACTAGAGAGTTGGGCCAAAGCTAACAAAACGAATTTCAACAAGGAGAAATGTAAGATACTACACTTAGGCAGAAAAAAATGAAATGCAAAGATACAGAATGGGTGACGCCTGACTCGACAACAGTCCATGTAGAAAAAATCTTGGAGTCTTCATAGACAACAAGTTGAACATGAACCAACAGTGTGATGCAGCAGCTTAAAAGCCAATGGGATAGTGTCTAAATCAAGGGACATCATGGTGCCTCTCCATTCTGCTTTGGTTAGTCCTCACTTGGAATATGTGTCCAATTCTGGGCACCACGGTATCAAAGAGATATTGACAACTTGGAAGGTATCCAGAGGAGGGTGACTAAAATGATCAAAGGTCTGGAGATCATGCCCTGTGAGGAGCATCTTAAAAAGCGTAATACATTTAGCCTGCAGAATAGAAGATAGAGAGGAGCCATGACAGCCATATATAAATGTGTGAAAGGATAAGGGAACAGGCTTGTTTTCTGCTCCCCTGGAAACTAGGATTCAGAGTAATGGGTTCAAATTACAGGAGAGGAGATTCCACCTGAACATTAGGAAGAAATTCCTGACTGTAAGAGCTGTTCAGCAATGGAACTCTCAGCCTCAGAGTATGGTGGAAGCTCCTTTCTTTTAAACAGAGGTTGGGTGACCATCTATCAGAGGTACTTTAATTATGCTTTTCCTGCATAATAGAACGGGGTGGACTGGATGGCCCATGTGGTCTCTTCCAACTCTATTATTCTACTGATTTTTTCTGATGACTTATCTCCAGAAGCCTTATGAGCCACCCACGTTACTTATCCAGCGTATGGAGAACAGTGTGATAGCAGCTTAGTCATTTTTCCGCTGAGAAGAACTGACAATGAGACATGTATTCCCAGACAGGGAGTTCACAAACTCATCAAGTCAGCTAAAAGACAAGCTGCCATCAGATGACACCAGCAGTAAGAGGAAGCTTGGAAGAAAACGGTGGAGTTGTCATGTGTCCAACACCAATTCAACTATCAAGAGGAGGTTGCCTCCCCAGGGTACAAAACATATTATGTGTTAATTCAGAGAATTATTGAAAATCTAAGATTCGTTCTCAGTAAAATAACATGCCAAACAAAGCCTGCAACAGGTTTTTTTTATAGCCAGTACAGATTATATGCACACTGATTTTCATTGAACTGATCTTATGTTTACCTTTTTGTTGTGCTTTTCCTTTTTTCTCTTCTTTGACTTGGATTTAGGAGTATCTAAACATTAAGGTTGTAAAAGGTGTATGTTAATGATGGAGCAATGCTATCTAAATGAAGAGTCAGTAAACAAAAGCCAAGATTTAGAAGTTACCTTCTGGGGTTCCACTAATAAAACAGGAAAACATTGTTCCTTTTATGATTTGGCATATTCACAAGCCAGTAAGAAGTGTTTTATTCAGAAAGTAACCACAATGATAGCCTCTGTGTGGCAATAAACATACATCTTCCACCACACATCACACACCTGCTTTTGTGATGTATGGTATGATTTTTTCCAGATTATGTTTCCATTATCATTTCTCTTGAACTATCTAATAGATTAATCAAAATCAAGTAGTTTGACATGTAGCACACACACATCCATTTCTCGCAGATATTTATCTGGGTTATTTAGTTGTATTTTACTCAAATCTATGAGGAAAGAGATTCCATTTGAGCATTAAGAAGAACTTCCTGAGTGTAAGAGCTGTACAGCAGTGGAACACTTTGTGTCAGAGTGTGGTGGAAACTCTGAGGCAGAGTTCCACTGCCTGATGGCTATTTCTCAGGGGTGCTCTGTGTTTTTCCTGCATGGCAGTGGGTTGGACTAGATGGCCCATATGGTCTCTTTCAACTCTATTATTCTATGATTCTAAAATATGAGAGCAATGAAAAAGTAAATGAACTTTTTCATTGCTGTCCTATTTCTTTCCTTGATGCTTTTTATTTTGTTGATTTTCTTTTCTCTTTTTCTTTATATGATATTTTAAAATATAAAAAAGGGGGGGAAAGAAGGGAAAAAACCTGGCAATATAGGTCACTATACCTGGGAGCCTTTGTTTGAAGCACTGTGTTACCTTTTTCCCCACCTGAGGAAGATTTCAGTGAAGCTTCAGAACCTTATATAATGTATTTGATGTGTTGTCAAAGGCTTTCATGGTAGAACCACTGGGTTGCTGTGAGTTTGGGGCGATACAGCCCGAAAAACTCACAACAAGCCAACATATTTTATGTTGGCTGTTACTGAAAAAAAGGTATCTCTGTTTCGTGGACTTTGTGACACACATAGTTATCGTATATACTCGAGTATAAGCCGGCTCAAATATAAGCCAAGGCACCTAATTTTACCACCAAAAAATCCCCTGGGAAAACGTACTGACTCGAGTATAAACCAAGGGTGGGAAATGCAGCAGTTACTGGTAAATTTCAAAATCAGAATAGATACCAATAAAATTACATTAATTGAGGCATTAGTAGGTTAAATGTTGTTTAATATTTACATAAAACTGTAATTTAAGATAAGACTGTCCAACTCTGATTAAACCATTATTCTAACCTTCTTCAATATAAATGTGCTTACGTATCCTTCCAATAAAAAAGAGAGTAAAATAATAAATGTAACAATAAAAAATAGAATAAAATAATTAATGCAATAATAATAAATAGAGTAAAATAATAAATGTAATAATAATAATAATAATAATAATAACAACAGAGTAAAATAATAAACTTTGACCCAGGTATAAGCCGAGGAGGGCTTTTTCAGCCTTAAAAAAGGCTGAAAAACTCAGCTAATACTTGAGTATATATGAATAAATTATTTACATAATAAAGTACTGGCCCACAAACCTGCTCTTACTCCTTATATAATGGAAACAGAAAAACTATTGTGTATCTATGTAGAAGTCTAGGGCAGGATCTGAAGCCAAACTCTACATTTTGTTATGATTTTGTGTCGGGCTCAACACAAGGATTCATTCCATGGATAGGCAAAAGTACCAGTGCTATTCCAGCCACCAGTTTCCTGTCTAGGCATTCCAAAGGACCAGAAGCGGTAAATATCCAGTATGTATGCAAACATCTCCAGTGCATATCTGTAATTTCACACAATGCTGAGGCCCATTAATTGCATATCTAATGATCCAGATGTCTATTTAGACTTGTATTGGGCTTAGAAGTGTTTATATTTGCTGAATTACTGGCAGTATGTGACAATAATTTTACCTCTACTACTTGAACTGCTGCTGCTGCTACGTGAAGCAGAGGATCCTGAAGAAGACCTTGAAGAGGAAGAAGTCGAAGAACTTGATGATGTCGTGGAAGAAATGGAAGAGGACCTGCTTCTACTGCGTTTCCGCTTTCTCTTCTCTCTCTCTTAAATGAAAAATAAAATACAACATGGGAAACCAATTAGGGTTTTGATTTTTCTGCGTATTAGAAAATGCTGGATTTCAATATTAGTTCTCTTCCATTTTAAAAATGCTAGTTAGTGACTCTAAGGTCTGTGAGACCACCACTACCAAGACACTACACTTGGAGGGCCATCATACTCAAACAACGAGGGATCGCTTAAGTAAGTAAATCAGAGACTGGGATAAGTAACCAAACTGACAGGTTCAACTTGCCATGGTGGATATAGCACTGCAATACAAAAAGGTCAATGGACATGACAATTCATTACAATTGTCTCACCACTTTTGTGGATTTTATTATTCATGGATTAGATTAAAACATTACCTTTATGAATTTCTAAGTCCTCCAACAAAACACTGACTATAGAGTCCTGCTGGAAGGTATAGAAATACCTAGAGAGGTGAAGAAATTAGCAATTTATTTATTTGTGTTTTTTCACTCTAGAGAGGTACCATGCCAGTTAATGTGGAGAGTCGATTGCAAATACGTAAGATGCTTATTATTTATTTGCATTTATACGATGCTTATAAACAAGCTTTGTTGTGCAGTAGAAAAAAAATAACAACAGCCTTGTAACAATACACATTTCTTATTTTATTCATTTACTGCATTTTTATACCACCTTTCTCAGCCCGAAGGTGACTAAGGGCAGCTTACAAAGATCTAAAAACACAATGGTAAACATGATAACACAACACTTGAGCAGGGAATGTAAATTAATCCCATGAATATTTCTAAAACAGTAGACAATGTCCTCAAAAATAAGAAGCAGGATGAATCTGTGTTTCAATCTGCACATGTGCTGAAGAACTCTGACGAGTTCAATACACCAAAAAACACAAACATAAAGTGTAAACCTGCACTTAGTGCCAGAGCCAGTTAAGTACAGTCTGTTCTTCAAGGAATTGAGGCAGGACAAAAATTGTATATAGGTAAGGGCTTGAGTCTTCTCCTATAGTCCTCTGTGGGTTGGATAACAACAGACTTGTCCTCCATTTTTGCCTGGAGATAGCAGAAAAGAGACTTCTCTCTTGCTTCCATAGAAACATTGAGTGGGAAGAGACTTCAAGGGCCATCCAGTCCAACCCCCCCCCCCCCCCCACCATGCAGGAACTCAGAATCAAAGCACTCCTGACAGATGACTATCCAGCAGATTGGCTAGAGAAGGTGGAGTGTCAGCCAGGAGAGGGCATGAGCTGGGAATCTCCACATATCAGAATTTGATTCTTTCTTGTCTAAAAGCCCTTTCCTGATGTCATTACAACAGAATAAAAATGCTCACCTCTAGCTTGTGCCTTCTCTTGTGATGTTGCATGCAGTGTCCCACCTTCCTCTTTAGCTCTGTTATCCATATCTATAAAAACATATAAACATACCCTCACATAATCACATTTTATACACACACTATTGACAAGATTATGTCTATAAAACGTTTTCAAAACAACTTGGGTGATGCAGATGATGCGTTGCCACAATATCTATTACACTACTCCATCTATGACATTATGTAACAAGATTTTTATTCCTGGGTTATAAATGTCATTTCCTAATTGGTTCTATCATTTAAAAAATTGAAAACGTTTATTAAACTGCAAGAAACTTTTGTTTTTGTGGGAGATCCTGCAGCATATTTTGCTATAGTTTTTCAATGAATATTTCATAGAGTCTCTCTCTTTTTTAATATATTTTTATTTTAGAACATACACATACACAAACACAACAGTTACAATTCCCACTACCACAAGGATTATTTTCTTTCACATATTAATCCTTTCGGAGACAAGTCTTCTAGATTTACATACTGTATAACATTTGTATTCTATTTCTTATGGCTTGATCTCTAGACTTATTCATAATATAATTCTTGACCTGGCTCCATCTTTCTTCAACTTCTTGCATTCTATTTCCATTACATTTTGAATCATTTAATTTTACAGCCATAATTTCAAATTCCATTTGGTCCACCGTATACAGATACCATTTATTTACTGTCCGCTTTGATTTGTCTTTCCATCCCAACACAATCACTGCTTGTGTACACTCAATTATTGCTTCCTTTATTTCACAGAGTCTCAACCAATGCAACACAATTTGTGGCAGCCACAAAAATGAAGTTTCTAAATAACAACTTTCAAAGTAAGTACGTCCCAATTAAACGGGAAATAACACTTTCAAACCATTTTTTAAAAATAAAAGCATCACTTCAGATAGGCAATTCAAGGAAAAGCATGACTTCTGATAGGCAAACTTGGGCCCTCCGGGTGTTTTGGACTCCAACTCCCACAATTCCTAACAGCCTTGGGCCTTTTTCTTTTCCCCATGGGGGGGGGGGAGGAAGGGGCCTGGGTTGTTAGGAATTGTGGGAATTGTAGTCCAAAACACCTGGAGGGCCAAAGTTTACCCATGCTTGTTCTAGAGCATGCCTGGTCTACACTGTAGAATTAATACAGTCTTGATACCACTTTAATTGCCATGGCTCGATACTATGGAATCATGGGAGTTGTAGTGGCACAAGGTATTTTGCTTGGGCCTCTCCAAACTACAACTCTCTGGATCCCATAGCATTTAAGCCATGGCAGTTAAACTGCATTAACTCCATAGTGTAGATACACCCTTAGGCAGCTAAACTACATTAACTCCATAGTGTAGCTACACCCTGGGTGTTAACTCTAGCTTAACACCCAGTCCCCATCCTAGAGTTATTTCTCTCCATTCTCCTCCTCCCATATTCCCACCAGCACTTCCGGCCAGAAAAGGGCGCCTAACCGACAAACGCAGTATCTGTGCCTCACGCTACTGTTTCTTCTTCTTCTTGTTGTTGTTACAGGCGAAGCGACGACACTAACCGGCTCCGCTCCGCACAGGGCCAAGTCCACACCCGGCGCCTCCGGCCTACTCAGAAGCACCAGTCGTTGCAGGCCCAGGCTCCACGGGAATCCGGAACCATCACGCCGAGCACGGCCACCTGCCGGGACCCTTCCGGGCGCACATCCCGGAAGTAGCTGAAGGCAAAAGGCGGTGCTGGCAGGCTGGCTGCCAGGCTCTCTCCGCACTTTCGCATCCTCTCCTTCTCGCTGTCTCCAGCAGGTGGCAAAGACGAGGCAAAGGGAGAGGAGTTGGCTCACTCTATCTGGTCATCTATCCATCCATCCATCCATCCATCTATTCATCTGTCTATACATCTATTTATGCATATATCCGTCTATCTCTCTCTCTCTCTCTCTCTCTCTCTCTCTCTCTCTCTATCTATCTATCTATCTACCTACCCATCCATCCATCCATCCATCCGTTCATACATCTATTCATCTATGTTTGTCTGTCTATCCATCAATCTATCCATCTATGTATTCATCTCTCTCTATCCATATAGCCAGCTATCTGTTCACCTCTTTCTCTCTATCCATTCATCTATTTATCCATCTAACTGTCTATCCATCTATCTCTCCATTCACCTATCCATCCACCCACCCACCCCACCCCACCCACACTATCTGTCTATCTAGACACGCATCTATTCACCCATCTCTCCAGCTGTCTATTCATCTATCTATCTATCTGTCAATCTATCTATCCATCCATCTGTTCATTTATCTATCTATCTAGCTATCTACTTATCTGTCCATCAATCTATCCATCTATGCATTCATCTCTCTCTCCATCCATCTAGCCATCTATCTATTCACCTCTTTCTATCAGTCCATCTATTCAGTTATCTATTCATCTGTCTGTATGTCTATTTATCTGTATATCTATCAATCCATCTGTTCATCCATCTATTCATCTATGTGTTCATCTCTCTCTCTCTCGCTCCATCCATTTAGCCATCTTTCTATTCACCTCTCTTTCTATCCTTCCATCTATTCAACTATCCGTTCATCTATGTATCTATGCATCTATCTATCTATCCACCCATCCATCATTTGTCTGTCCGTCCATCCATCTGTTCATCCATCTATCCATCTATGTATTCATCTCTCTCTCTCCATCCATCCATTCAGCTATCTATTCATCTGTCTGTCTGTCTTTCTATCTGTCCATCCATCTGTTCATCCATCTATCCATCCAACCATCCATCCATCCATCTATGTATTCATCTCTCTGTCTCTCTCCATTTATCCATCTATGTATTCACCTTTCTTTCTATCCATCCATCTATTCATCTATCTATCTATCTATCTATCTATCTATCTATCTATCTATTCTCCTCTTCTCTCCAACTAGAAGGGCCATATTCCCACCAGCACTTCCTATCCATCCATGCATCCAATCCAGCTATCCATCCATCCATCCATCCATCCATCTCTATTCACCGCTTTTCTTTCTTTTATCGTGTATAACCTTTAATGCATTCAACAATCTTATTGGCCCTCCAGGTGTTTTGGACCTCAACTTGCACAATTCCTGACTTCCAGTAGACTTAGAAATTGTGGGAGTTGAAGTCCAAAACATTTGGAGGGCAGAAGTTTGCCTATGTCTGATATATATGGTAATTTAAACCCTTATTTGGCTTCAAACACCTTGTATTAAAATAGCTGCTGCACCAATGGTTAATGAGCTCCTATGGGGGAAAAGGCATCGTTCAAAAAGAGTCCCAATTCCACAACATGCGACTTCAAGAATTCTACAAACTGGTTTCCTTCAGTAAACTTGTCCCTGCAAATCTTGTAGTGTTTGTGAATTTCAACCCTCCTTTAGTAAAAATCATTTTTGATAGGTGAGTTTATTTATGGAGGTTATTTTTTTATTTATGAGTTTGAGAATAACAGGGGGACAGGTGTAGGGACAGAGTTGAAATGCTATTCCTCCCACATACTTTTCCTCTTTGCTCAAGAGCCAGTCAGCGGCACAACCCCGACGAGACACTGTCTGTTTTAGCGGCAGATAACATTTTCCATGTCAAATTACTTTTTGATAACAGCAACCACAAAATTACTTTCCATTTTAGGAAATAAAGACTGTCTGTACCTAACAGATTCTAGGCTGCATCGAGAACAGTATGGAGTCTAGGTTGACGGAAGTCATAGGTAAAGGTAAAGGGTTTCCCCTGACATTAAGTCCAGTCGTGTCTGACTCTGGGGTGTGGTGCTCATCTCCATTTCTAAGCCGAAGAGTCGGCRTTGTTYGTAGACACCTCCAAGGTCATGTGGCTGGCATGACTCCATGGAGCGCCGTTACCTTCCAGCTGGAGYGGTACCTATTGATCTACTCACATTTGCATGTTTTTGAACTGCTAGGTTGGCAGAAGCTGAGGCTGACAGCAGAAGCTYGCACCGCTCCCAGGWTTCGAACCTGCGACCTTTTGGTCAGCAAGTTCAGCAGCTCAGCAGTTTAACCCACTGTGCCACTGGGAGCTCCTACATCTTAGTACGTTGTATGTCCTGTGTGCTTTGAGATCTCTCTCTGCGTGTGTGTCAGAGAGATGTAGTGCRTATTTTCCCCTCTCTTTGAAACCTCAGAAGAGATGGGTGTTTAAGTAGATAGAACCCAGTTCTTTACTATTACKAAATATAGTTAGTTATCATATAATGTAAATAACCCTTTTGAGATTTTTTAGATTGGACTCTGCATTTTTGCCTGAATTATAAATTCTTTACAGCCACATCACATGGCACTTCACACTCTGCTTGTTATGAGCTGATGCTCAAACTATAGATATCCTTTTCGTATTTTGGATGTTCTGCTTATCTTTGGGTAGTTTCCCCTAACATTTAATAGGCAACAGTTTAATAGAGGCGAATAATTCTGCAAGGCTTTTGTTTTGGAACTCTTTCAATATTGCTTGTCAAAATTTATTGAAAAGTTGAACAGATAAACCAGGTAATCCTCCACAACAATAAATACATCTAAAAGCATGTCAAACAGGTGCAAAGAGATGTAAACTTTAAAAAGCACAGGTAATAAGAGTCTACAAATGGGGTATCTATTGCAAATCGCATCCTATAGAAAAAGTAAAAGAGTTACAAACCCTAGGATAGTAAAAGAATTAGAAAACGACATTGACCTAAAAACACGGTTGTCAGCATTACAAAAACAAAGATTGTTCTTAAAATAAATAACAAGGTTGTCTTTACAAAAATCATTAAATACATGGCAGATAAAGGCAATACAATTGTCAGGCAGGTCTTGATCCCTGGTCAGGAGAAAGACGAATGGCTTCTAGAGAATTAGAGCAGTAATTTACCTCTTAAATTCCCCCTGTACTATTTAATATAAAAAAAATCCTGTTTTGCAAAACCTGAAGTTTCCAATTTTTTGTTTTGAGATATTATTTTTTTTTACATTTTTGGCAATCTAGATACTCCTACTCTAGAACATGAGTGCCTAGGCCTGCTGCAATGTCCATCTTATTTTAGAGCTTGGAAATCACCAATAAAACCCCATAAAATCATTGAGTTGGAAGAGACCTCGTGGGCCATCCAGTCCAACCCCCTGCCAAGAAGCAGAAAAATTGCATTCAAAGCAAAAGAACAGAAGTAACAGCGACTACCTCTATTCTTGCCCATCCTATTCTTCCAACATTGCCTTGTTTTATAATATGCCATCAAATCGGCTGCTATGAATGCAAGACCTCCAAGAGACCTTGTGATAAACAGCTCTCCTAGCCATAAAGCAGATAAGACAAAGGAATGGGAGATGAAAATATGACTAGAGTACTAAGGAAGGGGATGAAATGTATGACACTCTATCGGCTTCTCAATGTACTCAGCAGAGACTTTGGACAAGGATTTCATACCCATTGAAAAGCTATTAATAACCTTTCTAGTATTGCAACATGCTTTTAAACAATAGGAATAGATCAGTGCTTGTAAGGTGGCCAAGGTGGCCATGCTTACAAAATTCCTATGCAAATCCACTACACAACCAACATCAAAAATCTATTGCTATGTCTATTCAAGCATCACCCCTTCATGCTTACAACGCTCCAGACATCAACACAATAAATTACCACAACACCCTACGGAGGCACAGATATTGATTAATGACAAGGAGAGAAAAAAGAGAGAACTCAGCAACACATTACTCTTGTTCACGTTTTTCGGCTCCACTGTTCATCTTGTAACAGCCATAAGGAAACAAACCTATGGCCTTGAGCTTGCACAGTGGCAACTATTCTTGCTAATTTTTAGCTGCAAAACAACAACTCCACATGGCTTTTTCAATTGCAGCATACATTTTCAATGAATGCAATTATCAAAATGTTCTTTAGATAAGGTAAAGGTTTCCCGACATTAAGTCTAGTTGTAGAATCATAGAATCATAGAGTTGGAAGAGACCTCATGGACCATCCAGTCCAACTCCCTGCCAAGAAGCAGGAAAATTGTATTCAAAGCACCCCCAACAGATGGCCATCCAGACTCTGCTTAAAAGCCTCTGACACTGTGTCTGACTCAAGGGGTTGGTATTTATCTCCATTTCTAAGCTGAAGAGCTAGTGTTGTCCGTAGACACCTCCAAGGTCATGTGGCCAGCATGACTGCATGGAGCACCATTACCTTCCTGCCAATGTGATCTACTCACATTTGCAGGTTTTCGAACTGCTAGGGTAGCAGAAGCTGGGGCTGACAGCGGGAGCTCATCCCGCTCCCCGGATTTCTGTCAGCAAGTTCAGCAGCTCAGTGGTTTAATCTGCTGTGTCACTAGGGTGCTGTGCTCTTTGTAGGATAACAATATATCCAATCATATGTCCAGATATAATGAATAGCTTCCTTAAAGTGCTTTTCTGTATCACTTGCTAGAATCCATTTCTGTAGAGAAGAACCCAAGTTCAGGTCATACAACTCAAAAAATAATTAAAGGGAAAAAACAATAAAGGCAGGCATTAGGGCCTGCATTAATTCTGAAATGTGAAGCAAAAAAAAAAAGGCTTCAAAACTTTTGAGGAATGGGATGACAGGAACAAAACACAATCCTTTAATAGCATTTCTGATATGCAACACTTACAATCTCCATTATCATTTAACTAGTTTCATGCATCTACTGGAGCTCCTGGTGGCTCAATGGGTTAAACCATTGTGCCAGCAGGATTGGTTCGAATCCGGAGAATGCGGTGAGCTCTCGTCTGTCAGCTCCAGCTTCTCATGTGGGAACATGAGAGAAGCCTCCCACAGGGTGGTAAAACATCCGGGCGTCCCCTATGCAACATCCTTGCAGACGGCCAATTCTCTCACACCAGAAGCAACTTGCAGTTTCTCAAATTGCTCCTGAAACACAAAAATTTGCACCTACTCTACTTTTGAACAAGACAAAGTTAGATACACCTGATCAAAACAAGTCTAGGTTTTCTGAATTTGGCTTGTAACAGTGATACCAACGAGGATATAATATTTACAAATAAACATGCTGGAGAATGACACCAATAAAATAAACCCAAGTATCCTAAAATCACAATCTAGAGATATTTCCTGTTTGCACCTTTGCTTTCAAGGCATGGTTAGATCATGTTTAGGAAAAAGGGTCTATTCTACCATAGCTTCACATTCCCAAGATCGAGATGGAATTTTCTGCACATTTTACGTGAACCTCCAGTAAATTCTAGAATACTTTTGTTCTAGAATACTTTGGTTCTAGCAATGCAGGGGATTATATTGCTATTGTGGATGACAGATGTGAAAGATGTCTCATTAATAACCAAGGCTAAGTTCAGCATCCTTTCACATTCATGGCCTTCATGAAATACACACAACCCTTCTTAGCACCTCTATACTTGTGATAAAATGAGTGGAATCAGTGGCACTACTTTTGTGTTCTAAGATATCTTGCTGCGGTTATCATGTGAAAAATATGGCTCCTGAGATCGTTCACTCAGTTAAGACTTCGAAACAGGTAAAAAGAAGTCATAATATCAAGTTTTGCTATCTGTTTAATATTGGCCTAATTGCAGACCTAACCAAATTCCTTAAAGCAGCTTTGAAAAAACTACAAAAACAGTTGTCAAAACTATCAATGTGTATTAAAAAGGATGTCAGCAAATTGAAAAGCAGCTTTTCCCCTTTTGTGTGAAGTCGCCCAGTTGTCACGCTTAATAGTTCTCTCACAACTCTTCCAGATCACTCAAATCCACCACCACTTTCAGGAAGATTGTATCATCTTTGACGTAGGTACTCTTCGCATTTTCAAGCAGAGTGTGTGGAACAAACCGAGGGCAGCCAGAGGCGACATTCATTTCTCCTTCTGGCCTTTTGAAGCTGCTGCTGTTCGGATCAGCTTTAAATGTTTCGACAATATGGTTTTTCTTCCCGCTTTGGTCCAGAAGCATAAGTGTAACCTTTTGCCTGAAAGGCCATGGTAAGAGGGAATCGAATTCCCCTCTCATCACAACAAAGTACAAGGAGACATGGGTACCCTTTCCTGAACCATCGCCGTTTAGATAAGCCCTGGCAGATAACCTGTACCCACAGCGGCTGGTATAAAAAGGCTGGCTGAATATGGAGAGGCAACTGCCCTCCACGGCCTCTTTCTTCTTCGTCTTGTAATCGACAATTTTCCAAATCAGTTTCCCATTGTAACTGGTCCCTTCCAAAAGCTTAAACCGTTCTTCATTTTTGTTCAGTTGTGCCTTGTGGAGACCCAGGTGGATATCATGCTGGTTGGACAAGTCTTCCAGGACAACTGGAGGAAAAAATGCATACATTTATTTATTTATTTACAGCATTTATATTCCGCCCTTCTCACCCCTCAGGGGACTCAGGACGGATCACAACGCACATATACATGGCAAACATTCAATGTCATAGACTCACAACATATATAGACAGGCACACAGAGAGTATATAACTTTTCAGCTTCATGAGGGTATGTTTTGAATTCCGGCCACCGGGGGAGCTGTCCCTTTACTTTCCACTTGTGACAGCGATGGAGTACTTCCTCACTCTTTTGCACGCTGCTGGAGAGGTTTATGTCGTCGTAAATTAGTTAAATTAGCCTCCCCACGTAAGTGGTATCTAAATTTCCTACTTGACAGATGCAACTATCTTTCGGGCTGCAAAGGTCGACAGAGAGCTAGACAAATGGTCAGGAGCTTACTCTGACCTGGGCTGTCTTCGAACTCATGACCTTTTGGTCAGTAGTGATTTTAATGCAGCTGGCTCCCCAACCAGTTGCACCACAACCTGGTCCCATATAAAGCCAAGAAAGTTTTAGTTTATGGAGGGATAACATGGGTGGGAGAAATATACGTGTCAACTCGTGGAAGCGATGTCTATATTGCCTAGACATAGCTATGTGTTCTGCAGTGGGCAACAAAACAGCCTGGACAAGCCCTTCCCAACTGTATTGGTGCACCCCAGAGCCCTGCCCTGCTGATGATGTGCTATGCACCAGCTTCATGAAATGCAGGGCTCTATCATACCACACGGCTATAGCACTATTATACCACTATAACTGCAGACCTTTCTTTAATCATTAAATAAGTGGATGTTTTTCTTTTCCTAACCAGAACTGGAAAGCAGTGGTTCTCAACCTGTGGGTCCCCAGGTGTTTTGGTCTACAACTCCCAGAAATCCCAGCCAGTTTACCAGATGTTAGGATTTCTGGGAGTTGAATGCCAAAACATCTGGGGACCCACTGAAATAAAGATTTCCTGCCACACTAAGGGGTGAGCTACAGGACACGGCAAAATGAAGGCACTGCCTCTCCAAATAGTAATTCACACCCTAATGAAATTTTCTTTCAGTCCAAATTTCTAGCTGTGCAGTAACAAATGTGTCTTGAGCATTTATTAATACAGCAAGTCTCCTGTAATCGCAGAATGAGTAGGCACAACCCACAAAGTTTGTTAAGCTTGTGGAGTAGTGTTTTCCTAGTCCACAAGAGGCTGAATGGCCAAGGTGAATGGACGCTGTTTCAAGCAAAAATATGCAAAATTGTAGGAACCCAGGTGGGTTTTTTTTTTGTAAGTTAGTACACATGTCTTCCTTTATACCAGTGGTAAGCAACTATTAAGAGGACAGGGCCACTCCTGTGACTCACCCTGGCACAACCAGAAATGTTCCCATGTGACTTCTGGTTTTGAGAATCAGTGGTTCGAATCCTAGGAGCTGGGTGAGCTCCCATCTGTCAGCTCCAGTTTCCCATGCAGGGACATGAGAGAAGCCTCCCACAGGATGATAACACATCTAGGCATCCCCTGGGTAATGTCTTTGCAGACAGCCAATTTTCTCACATCAGAAGCGACTTGCAGTTTCTCAAGTTGCTCCTGACATGAAGAAAAAATATTTTGGGAGTTAGTGTGTTTTGGCCCTAAAATTTGCTTCTCCAAAACCAACTATTATGGGGCGCTGGAGGTTTTGGAGGTCAGAGTGAGGCTTGACCACTACAAAATGTGATCCCAAGAGACATGTGAGATCAAAGAACTCAAAAAAGAAAAACAATCCAAACATACCCAAACGTTGTTCATATGATTCCAGAAAAGCAACTTTGTGCTTTATGTTCTCAACAGTCTCCAGTAGTGGCCTTAGGTCAAATTTACTCTGTTGCTGATTTGCCATTTGAACCAACTGTCTTACTTGTGTTTCCAGGCAGGCAGATTTATCAATGTGAATTGCAAGAGTCTTCAGGTTACATGATCATTGTAGGAGAAGATAAGAAAAAGAGGACAGAAAGGGAAAAATTATTATAATTAATGGACAGATGCAGAAATATTTATTAAGCCTTAAATAATAATAATAATAATAATAATAATAATAATAATAATAATAATAATAATAATAATATATTTGATACACAACAAGATTAGAAGACAGCAAACAAGATCCCTATGCTGGCTGTTATATTGGATCACACCTCGGACACTTCCCAAGTGCCTAGGACTATGTGATGTATTGGTGAATAATGCATACTGATCTGAGTAGGGTGGCCTTTTGCAGCTGACAGATGGTAATTTTGTCAGCGCTGATTGTTTTTAAGTGTTAGCCAAGGCCTTTAGGCACTGCACCCAGTGTGCCAATCACCACTGGGACCACCTTTACTGGCTTGTGCCAGAGTTTTTGCAGTTCAATCTCATATCTCAAATCCTCATATCGTGTCAGCTTTTCAAGTTGCTTCTCATCAATTCGGCTGTTGCCTGGGATTGCAACATCGATGATGATGATGATTATTATTATTACTTATATCCCGTTTTATCTACCCCAAAGGGGACTCAAAGCATCAGCATAACCATTTAAAATATACAAATATATAAACAATAAAACAGGAATAAATATACACAGTATTTAAAAATTCCACTGTATTAAACCACTGAATACATTAAGAATAACATTTCATTTCTTCTCCACATATTATAATTAAAATGCTCATGAATCATCACAAGTTTCTGGCTTGTCATCTGTTTTCCAGAGCTCACTTGGCACTAGTAGGCTTTGTTATTCAAAATGTCTACACAGCCTGAAAATAAAAATGCCACCTTCACTTGATTGGATAAGACAGTTAAAGAAATTCTATTCTAGTTATAAGGTGCACCTAACACTGTTATTTAGTTTAGTAAAAATTGTTCTGAAATACAAGACATTATATTAATCTCTATATTGTGCTGCCAACTTGTGGATCTATGATTTATAAGCACAATTACATGAGTATAAAATAAAATCAAAAAAGGCTGCATGCCCTGGTTAGGGAATGCTGAGTTGCTGGAGCCACACTTCAACACAACCTGCCTTTTGCAAGAAGACAAGCCACTTAAGGTAACTTGCCATAGTTATCCCATCAGTTTTCATGGTACAAGAGCAGCCCATGAGAAAATAATCTTCTGAAAACATTATGAGCATAAAAAAGAACTGGCAACTATATCATTCACACCTTGGTTCATAGTTGATATTTTCAGCTGCTTTGTGTTATTTCCTTACCTCTCTCCATATTTTCAATTCCATGCAGAGGGAAACTTTATGGAGCCTTCTGCATTACTGCTAGATCACAGCATCAGATTGTATATATACCTGGCACATCCTTTTTCAAAGGCCAGGAAAATAGTTGCTGCAATTGCTTTCCTCCCATCCTTTTTCTCATTCAAATGTATGTCACAATATATTTGAACCAGGAACTTGTTTGTTTGTCTGCTATCTCATGAAGTTTTAATTTCCAAGTTCTGTTTGTTTATTTGTTTGTTTATTTATTTAGGTGTCAGGAGCAACTTGAGAAACTGAAAGCCACTTCTGGTTTGAGAGAATTGACTGATCTGCAAAGATGTTGCCTAGGGGATGCCCGGGTGTTTTACCACCCTGTGGGCGGTTTCTCTCATGTCCCCATATGGGAAGCTGGAGCTGACAGATGGGAGCTCACCCTGCTCCCCGGATTGGAACCACTGGCCTTTTGGTTAGCAGTCCTGTTGACGCTCCCTGGATTCAAACTGCCTACCTTTCAGACAACAGTCCTGCCAGCACAAGGGTTTAGAATCATAGAATCATAGAATCATAGAATCAAAGAGTTGGAAGAGACCTCATGGGCCATCCAGTCCAACCCCATTCTGCCAAGAAGCAGGAATGTTGCATTCAAATCACCCCTGACAGATGGCCATCCAGCCTCTGTTTCAAAGCTTCCAAAGAAGGAGCCTCCACCACACTCCCTCCAGGGCAGAGAGTTCCACTGCTGAACGGCTCTCACAGTCAGGAAGTTCTTCCTCGTGTTCAGATGGAATCTCCTCTCTTGTAGTTTGAAGCCATTGTTCCGTCCTAGTCTCCAAGGAAGCAGAAAACAAGCTTGCTCCCTCCTCCCTGTGGCTTCCTCTCACATATTTATACATGGCTATCATATCTACTCTCAGCCTTCTCTTCTTCAGGCTAAACATGCCCAGTTCCCTAAGCCGCTCCTCATAGGGCTTGTTCTCCAGACCCTTGATCATTTTAGTCGCCCTCCTCTGGACACATTCCAGTTTAAACCTATTGCGCCACTGGGGGCTCCTGGACCTATATAAATATGTTTACCTGCCACATGCAAAAATTAATCTTTTATCTCTGTACAATGTTCAGTAATGCCAGAGTTTGAAAGAGTTACTTCTCTGATTTACTGGAATGCTTCAGCTAAAATCTAGCATCTGCTTTGCAGAAACATATCTAACAACAGATAGAAATAAATCCCAGATTAAATAATGTTAGGCAATTTCTTACATTAACATAATGTAGGCAGTGCTTTGTTTAGATCAGGCATGGGCAAACTTCAGCCCTCCAGGTATTTTGGACTTCAATTCCCACAATTCCTAACAGCACATGCCTGCTTTAAACAATCAGTTTTTTGTTTCTACTGAGGAATTAAAGCAGGAAAACTGTCTTACCTGGGTGCTTGCCAGTAAGTTGTTATTTTTACTGTATAGTTGTGTAAACTGCCTGAATTCTTTCTCACACTTTTTTACCATGTCTGCCAGCTGTTGAATTTTTATCTCTTTATGTTCTAGGTTTTTATAAAGCTCGGAGATCTACAAAATGAAAGATCTGAATTAAAACTACTAAAAGAGATGTTAGAAACAAAGAAATAATGAAAGAGACATTAACAACAAAGAAATAATGAAAGACTAGGTTGCTGTGAGTATTCCGGGCTGTATGGTCATGTTCCAGAAGCATTCTCTCCTGACATTTTGCCCACATCTATGGCAGGCATCCTCAGAGGTTGAGGCAAGTGGGGTTTATATATCTGTGGAATGTCCAGGGTGGGAGACAGAACTCTTGTTTGCTTGAGGCAAATGTGAATGTTGCAGTTGACCACCTTGATTAGCATTGAATGGCCTTGCAGCTTCAAAGACTGGCTGATTTCTGCCTGGGGGATCCTATGCTGGGAGGTGTTAGCTGGCCCTGATTGTTTCCTGATATGTTAGTTGTTAGAGTGGTCCAGCATGTCTGTGTTCTCAAATAATATATTGTGTCCACGTTGATTCATCTGGTGCTCTGCTATGACTGACTTCTCAGGTTGAATTAGCCTGCAGTGCCTTTCATGTTCCTTGATTTGTGTTTGGATGCTGTGTTTGCTAATTAAGGTAGCCAAATGCAACATTCATACTTGTCTCAAGCAGACCAGAGTTCTTTCTCCCATCCTGGACATTCCACAGATATATAAACCTCACTTGCCTAGTTCTCAACAGACCTCACAACCTCTATGGAGGTTTGTCATAGATGTGGGTGAAACATCAGGAAACAATACTTCTGGAACATGGCCATACAGCCTGGAAAACTCACAGCAATCCAATGATTCTGGCCTTTAACAACACAATGAAAGACTTGTTTCTATTACTGAAATATCACAAGCATGGTGGTCTGTCCCACACTAGACAAAATGGCTCCACTGTAGAATATACAGTAGTTAAGAGTTGGACCAGCTAAGCAGAAACTAGAAGGGTACTTCCATTCATACAGTCACATCTGATCCACCCTGCATAATGTGGGGCCCACCCTGATAAACATCAGGCAGGTCTAGTCACCCAACAAAAGCCAAATAATTCTCTGTTTTTAACCACATCCTGGAAAATTACACTGCATGAGATATTATTTTTAAAATATCGTCTGATCCATGCTGCACACAATTCATATCATGAAAAAATAATGTAACAAACAATCAAATACAGCCCTTTTTCAGGATGTGGTTAAATAGAGTTCTGAACACTATGGAGGATGATGGTATCTTGAGAAGACAATACTAAACTCAGGGTGACTTTTTGCCCAAAACTGAGTTCTTTTTTCAAAGAGTGAGTTAGGGGGGATGTTGCAGAGTATTTGGTTATTTTAACCGTTTTTTTTTCATGTGTTAAGTAATTTTAATTGATGTGTGTTTAATTCTGTTACATTATTTATATGTCTTGGATTTATTCTTTTGTAATGCTGTGAGCCACTTTGTGTCTCAGTCAAGAGAAAAAAGTGGGATGTGGATATTATAAATATTATAAATAGATATTATACTCTTTGGGGAGAGGGAGTGAGATATAAATAAAGCTTATTATTATTATTATTATTTTACTATGCACACACACATGTACATGCACATACATACTTGACTCCCTCCACATCTTTGTATTGTATGAGGAATTGAAATCACTAGTACACTTCTGATTTTGGCTGAAAAATAGCCCCTTTCAGTTTTGATATGAAGGAGATTTGTGGCATTTTCATGATAATTTTGGTAGACCCCCCCCTGCAGCAATTGAGCCTTTTGGCCCATTATTTGGGGCTGTAGGCACTATGTAGTTTACAGCCCACACATCGTCCATTCCCTGGTATAATGAAGACTGTGATGTCGAAATCACTGGGTTGCTGTGAGTTTTCCGGGCTGTATTGCCTTGTTCCAGAAGCACTCTCTCCTGGCGTTTTGCCCACACCTATGGCAGGCACCCCCAGAGGTTGTGAGGTCACCCTGGGTATTCCACAGATATATAAACCCCACTTGCTTAGTTTCCAACAGGGCAATGGTTCCCAACCTGTGGTCTGTGGACAACAAGTGATTCACAAGAACGAAAATATGGTCCACAGCCTCAGCATTGCTACACTGCTGCCTTGAAACCACATGGCAATGAGAGCGACCGATCTTGCGAAACTCTCTTATAGTGCTGAAGTTAACGGGGATGTTGGGAGGGGAGAGGCTGACTACACACAAAAGATTCCTACTACCACATCAGATTATTAAATATGGTTTTCTGTGGATGAGCAGATGGCGATTAATGGATAGCATATATTCTGTATCAGAAACTAGAGCTGAAGTTTTCCAATGCAATTTTCTGAATCAGTGCCCCAAATAACCAAACCCAATCTAAAGTTGATCAAAAACCTATTTGTAACACTTTTGGTACTAATGTTGGAGAGTGGTTCTTGGTCAAGTTGTCCCTAGTAAAATGGGCTCTGGTAAAAAAAAAAAAAAAAAGGCTGGGAACCACAGATCTATATATTGTAGATTAAACATTGCATATTGGGGGAATCAAGGGTTGCTGGATATGCATGCCCAGYGTGGAACACATCTCACCACGTTAAAACAGTGGATGTGGCTCTTAATGAGACATGCCACATTATCACAGAATGACTATGCTGTATGGCCCTGGAGAAATTATACTGTTTAGCCAGTATTGCACCACCTGACATCCACCAGGAAGTAGCAGCCAACAATGAAAGAATAAATGCATTGACATCTCTGGCCCATTCTTTGTTTGGATATCAGCTAGCACACCAAGAAATAGCTTCCTAAGATCTACAGAGATACTAGCAGGAACACCTCAGCAAGCCAGAGTCCAAAATTGGCAGGCTGAAACCCGGGGTCTCAATCCATGGCTGACACTGAATGAGAGACTTCCTCTTGGGCACATAGAAGACTAGACAACTTGGAAGGTGCTGAACAAACTGCACTCTAGCACCACAAGATGCAGAGCCAACCTTAAGAAATGGGGCCACAAAGTGGAGTCCACACATGCGAGTGTGGAGAAGAGCAAACCACAGACCACCTACTACAATGCAGTCTGAACTCTGCCATGTGCACAATGGAGGACCTTCTAATAGCAACACCAGAGGCACTCCTACTGGTCAAAGGACATTTAGTATAATGCCAAGTTTTTAACTTTGTTTGTGTTTTTAAATACATTACAACTGTACCCTCAATTCACTTCTGACATGATAAATAAATCAATGGGGGAATCAGACCTTGACTTTAGAAGGATTGACCATGCATATGGCGCTGTACCTGATTTTCAAGCTTTGAGTTCCTGTCCAGTATTTGTAACATATGCTCTCTCAAGTAGATATTCTCATGTTCTAAAACCTTTCCTCTTTTAATCTAAAAAGAAAATATAAAGAAATGAAAACCAAGCAAGTTTAATCCATGATAAACCAAACAGATTAATTATGTTGTTATATTTTTAAACAAGAGCAGTTTAGAACACAGAAGACAAAAATAATATTTAGATGCGTGGTTGTATTTGCTGTGGAATACAATACTTTTGCAGAATGTCCATACTGTTTATAGACATTTTTTTCAACCAGTTTCCATAAGGGGTAAGGTTGATCCTTTCTAAACAAAACAGTTTTTTTTAATATCAGGAGCGACTTGAGAAACTGCAAGTTGCTTCTGGTGTGAGACAACTGGCCATCTGCAAGAACGTTGCCCAGGGGAGGCCCGGATGTTTGGATGTTTTACCATCTCTGTGGGAAGCTTCTCTCATGTCCCTGTATGGGGAGCCAGAGCTGACAGAGGGAGCTCATCCACACTCTCCCCAGATTCGAACCTCCGACCTGTTGATCTTCAGTCCTGCCAGCACAAGGGTTTAACCCACTGCGCCACCACAGATGAATATGTAATATTGTTAGACCCGGCCAGAGAAGACAGGACTGAAAAGATACTTGTGCATTGGTTTCAGTTTCTTGTTTGGCCCCTTCCACACTGTCCCTGTGTCCCAGTATCTGATCCCAAATTAGTTTCTTATCCCACATTATCTGGCAGTGGAGACTCACATAATACAGTTTAAATCAGATAATCTGGGAACAGATCCTGGGATGGATATAGGGCAGTGAAGAGTATGGCTATCCATACTCCATAAGGAGCATGGATAGCCATACTCCTTATATGGAAAATCAATTTTCGCAAAGCAAGTGTGATGTATTGGAAATGAATCAAACAAATAATGTTATATTGTTACACCAGACAAAGCAGAACATAAAAGATATTTTGATGTGCTAGTTTCTATTACTGTCTTTGCTGTGTGATACAATACCTTTGTAGGACATCCATATTGTTTATACGGACAGTCGATTTCCACTTCAGGACACACCAGAATATGTTCTTCTACCTGAGAATATTGACAAGTAATGCATCAATTAAACTTGGAGGAAGAATAATGATCTTAATTATCCTACAACATGAAACATTACAAAGTACTCAGGAGATTCTAAACTGAGAAGGGGATCGTATAACCCTTAAGTAAGTCTGCTCCCCATGAATTCTTACTTTCCATATACCTATGGACACTTTGTTTGGTGCCTGCCGAATTCTCCAGCACCTCCCAATTGAAATAATTTTGAAGTATCTTTGGCAACAACAAAGTACAACCCTTGTTACAAAGCCAGGCACAATTTTACTTTAATTTAAACTGATTTTGGCATAAGTAAACTTGGGCCCTCCAGGTGTTTTGGACTTCAACTCCCACAATTCCTAAAAGCAAAAAGGAATTGTGGGAATTGAAGTCCAAAACACCTGGAGGGCCCAAGTTTGCCCATACCTTGCCTAAAGGGTTCTTATGGAATGAAGATAGCGATCAGCTACAGATCAGTCATTTTACTTTGCAATGTGCTGGCTGGACTAACAGCTAGAAGTTGCTCCAAATCCTTAAAATGCAGACCCCCTCCCCCAAAAAAAGTGTGTGTGGAGGGGAATTAAAAGGTGTGTTTGATAGCTACTCTCTGTTTGATTCCTAAGTCTAGTGTTTGGGGATATGAAGGATAGAGGGTGACTAAGAGGACACCAGGATGGTGAGTGGAAAAGAGAGTTCTGGGGAACAGAAAACTTCAACGGTATGGTTCTGTCTCCTGGGGCTCCGAAGCCACTTGTACTCTGATTCTAGATCAGATCATTGTTTAGTCTCCCCATTTGAATGGTAGGCTGTGTCCATCATGGGACTCATTTTGCAACTGAATAGACTCGAGTTCCATCATGGCACCCAGTTTATGACAATACTCATTATCCCACTCCAAACTTTCCAAAGTGCTAACCAATCCAAAAGAGATAAAGGAACTTCAACGTATTCAATCATAATCCAAAGCTTGTTTCAGTGGATCGACTGATTCCACTTAGAGCTCAAAGAGATGGTAAGTTCACATAATTACTAACGCAGCTTTTTCCCACAACAATTGATAATTCATCTGGTTATAATGAGTGAAAAATAATCTTGTACCTCTTTCGTCAGAATTGTTTGTGTGCAACCATGGGGACAAATCAATGGATACTCAGGACAATCTGTTCTCTCGTGGGTCTGAAAATAAATTGCTGAATCAATTATTCAAGGGTAACAAAAAGATGTAGCAGTCTTTAACAGTGCTCATTTAAAAGCAAAAGGAGAAAGCTCATATTAACAAGAGTCTTCTGAAACAAGCAGGACTGCACAGTGGTGAGAAAGCATAAATTCATAGGTGGATTGGACCATTTTAATATAACAATGAGGACAGAATGTAATTCTATTTTATGAGTGGCATCTTGAATGCTTTGTTAGCCACCCCGAGGAGATGGTGGCAGGGTACAAATATTGTAGTAGTAGTAGTAGTTGTTGTTGTTGTTATTATTATTATTATTATTATTATTATTATTATTGTTATTATAATGTTACAGTGTGGAGTGTCTTTGTTCATTGTCTCAGCCAATAACACATACCTTCTTTCAAGATATTGCATTGTAACTCCCTTTGATTTTTGTTCCCACACAACTCTAAACAGTAGGCATCTCATGTCAATTAGCTTGCTTATCCTCAGTAAGTAATTTTGGTCTCATTCCACCTGTAATTTATCATTATTGGGTTTCTCCTACTACCTGTTTATTGTTTGTGGACAATGCTATTTTGGCTACGTAAGGATAAGAGCTCTCGGTGGAGCAGCGGGTTAAACTGCTGAGCTGCTGAACCTACTGACTGAAAGGTCAGCAGTTCAAACCTGAGGAGAGGGGTGAGCTTCTGCTGTTAGCCCCAGCTTCTGTCAACCTAACAGTTCAAAATCATGCCAAATGTGAATAGATAAATAGGTACAGCTTCGGTAATGGCACTCCATGCAATCATGCCAGCCACATGACCTTGGAGGCGTCTACAGACAATGCTGGCTCTTCAGCTGAGAAATGGAGATGAGCACCACCCCCCAAAGTTGGACATGACTAGACTTAATGGCAAGGGGAAACCTTTACCTTTACTAAGGATAACCATTCAGAGAACTGAAATTCCTAATAGTTTATATGATTCACACTAGGGTTGATAAAGTGTGGTTCAAGGACCATCAAGGACACTTTTGTAGTTCTTGGACCTCCTAGACATGGGCAAAACATGTTTTGCTTTTCAGGTAATATTTCTGCTCTTGAGAATCTCTGAGCTGTGTTTCATCTCTCACCTGACATACCCCCATGATATAAATTAACATGATTATTCCCCCCCAAACTGGAAGTTGACTTACAGCAATGTTTGGTTTCAAACTCCCTTCTACGATCCAAGCATTTCTAATTGGTGGCATGTTACAGTCTTTTGCCATTTACCCACTTACATCTAACCCCTCTGTCTTCTGCTTTAAAATACAGAAGTAATCTACACTTGGAAATATGAAAAGACAAAAACCAGACTGGCCTATGAATGAGCTGAAAAGGTACCTTCAATTGGCAATCATTTCTAGTTTTTTTTTTTATTGATACACAGAAGCTGCAAAATCTCTATTTCTTATTTGCTGTTTCCAAACCTTCTTGGATATCCAGTGCAACGTAGGAATGTTTCCCTCCCAAGCTATATCTTTTCTGAGCTTGGATTGGATGGGACTGGGTGGCAGTGAAGGAGAAATAACATTGTAGACAACATATAATTTTGTACACAGCATTTTTAGAGTCTCTGAAGTTCAAATGAGGGATCTCTAACTTGATAACCATTTATTAACTTCTGGGTTTCACCAAGTGCCCAATCCAGCAAACACTAGCTTTTGCCTAGCTTTTTATAAGGCTGGTTTTTAATTATATCCTAAAATCATGGCTAAAAGTGAAGGTAAAGGTTTCCCCTTGACATTAAGTCTAGTCGTGTCCGACTCTGTGGGGTGGTGCTCATCTCAATTTCTAAGCCGAAGAGCCAGCGATGTCAGTAGACAGCACATAGGTCATGTGGCCAGCATGACTGCATGGAGTGCCGTAACCTTCCAACCACAGCAGTACCTATTGATCTACTCACATTTATATGTTTCTAAACTGCTACGCTGGCAGAAGCTGGGGCTAACAGCAGGAGCTCACCCCGCTCCCTGGATTCAAACCGCCGACCTTTCAATCAGCAAGTTCAGCAGCTCAGTGGTATAACCCACCGAGGGCTCCCTAAATCATGGCTATGAACCTAGTATTTCCAATAGCATCACCCTGTTTGATTATCACAACTGTGATGGAGACACAATCTCAGTTTGATTCACATAATATTTTAATATTAGGAAACAAAAGAAGTTACACGTAGTTAAGATATTTTTTATTACAATCTTACCTTTAAATTAATTGAAATCACAGGCTGATGACAGTACCGGCAGAGTTCCTTTCGAAAGTTACAGTGCAATCTTAGGTGTTCTTTCAGATCCTTCTGAAGAACTTTTTCACAACATCCTTCATTAATGCATTGTATGCTTTCAAATAAACACTGTTGTAGATGATCCTGTAAATGGAGTAATGCATTACATGTACCACCCATATTGTAACTATCACCGCAATATGGACTGAAGCACCTAAAGGACTTGATGCATTTGAGAATATTTGGTGCAAGTGTCATAGGAAGTTAGATGCTTCTCTAAAAACCACGGTCTACAGCAGTCATGGGCAAACTTCAGCCCTCCAGGTGTTTTGGCCTTCAATTCTCATAATTCCTAACAGCCGAATTATGGAAGTTGAAGTCCATAACACCTGGAATGCTAAAGTTTGCCCATTCCTGGTCTACAGCATGAGTGGACAACTGTGTGACCACAAAAAGTGCTAGCTAAAAAAGGTTGATGGGATCTGAAAGGCTACAGTTGGCAACTTGTTATCCTCCATATTATGTTGATCTCTCTTCTCCATTATGAGTGGATGCACTGATTTGGTGCAACACTTACTGTCTTACAGACACAACTCTTACAGACACAACTCTTACTCCAAACAAATAGGACTTAAAAGCTTCTTTAAGAATATGTATTTCTTTATTTGCATGCAGTTTGATCCTTTGCGAGATCAAACTGCATGCATAATGGTAGAAGTAGGATGTCAGAACAGGCATGGAAAAACTTGGCCACTGCAGGTATTTTGGATGTCAACTCCCAAACACATGGAGGGCCGAAGTTTGCCCATGCTTGTGTTAGAAAGAACACTTTTGTTACTTTGATTGTGAAAAGACATACAACAACAACATAAGAATACAGGAATGCAAACCTGGTATCGCCCCAGAGTCGTTTTTGCATTGCAAGCTGGTGAATTCCTGCAGTATACTTGCAAATTGAGAACTTCCCTTTTGCAGCAATTGTCTTTGAAAACCTGAATACAAAGTATAAAATTCGGTTTCACAATACACACAAGGGTAAGGGGAAAAAAATCAGCACCATGTTTTCAGATCTTAGAAATGTTCATTCTTAACTTTGGGAAGGGATTTTGGGCAGGAAAGTCCCATAATAATAATAATAATAATGAGGAGGAGGAGGAGGAGGAGGGGGGGGAGGAAGAGGAAGAGGAGGAGAAGCAGCAGCAGCAGACAGTAAAGGTGGTCCCAGTGGTGATCAGCACACTGGGTTCAGTGCCTAAAGACCTTGGCCTGCACTTAAACACAATCGGCACTGACAAGATTACCATCTGCCAGCTGCAAAAGGCCACCTTACTGGGACCTGCACGCATTATTCGCCAATGCATCATACAATCCTAGACACTTGGGAAGTGTCCAATGTGTGATCCAATGCAACAGCCAGCAGAGTGATCTGGTCTGCTGTGAATTCATCTTGTGGTGTTTCTAATAATAATAATAATAATAATAATAATAATAATAATAATAATAATAATAATAATAATAATAATAATAAATATTTTTATTTATTTTTCTCCCGCTTTTCTCCCACAGCTAGGACTCAAAAGGCTTTGGATTTTCCAAAAACAATGAAATAAAAAAAAGCTTCTGTTAGGGAACTGATTCATTTATCTAGAACACAAAATGGCAATATATTTTTGGTAGCTGCAGTGGGGGAAGAGAAAAAAGAGTGAAGAGAAATCTTACGTGACCTTCCTCCATATTGTACTTGTAAAAACTATTTGCAATACTTTTCTTTACACTGAGAGTAGGGAATTATTTTGCAAGTAGGGAATTATTTCAATTCAGATTTAAATCATGTTTGGGTCCTGCAAGCCTCTAGTGAACTTCACCTACATTCCAATGTAATGTCCCCAAAGATAAATAAACAGAGTTTATTTACTTACCTCATGAGATTTTATTATTTCTTTGTCTATTGGACAGGTGGGTATGACATTCAGTTCTCTTAAAGAAACAAAGAAAAATATAGTTTGTATTTGGCAATTAACCTTTAGTTCACACCCATGTAATATTCTAACTTCCAGCTTGAATCTTGACAGAATAATTAAAAAGTAAATACCCCAAGTCACTGGGACATTGCATTACAATGTTGATAATTGTACAACTTCCTTGACACAGAATATCCCAACCTTACCGATTTTAATTCACCTCAGATTTAGTTTGTTATGATAGCAACATTTTTAATACAAATCCTTGTGTTATGTTCTCAATCAGAGAAAATAGAAGGAAATTGCATGAGGAAAGGCTGGCGATTTGAATCTGGGGAACGGAGTGAGCTCCCAGTGTTAGGCTCAGCTTCTGCCAACCTAGCAGTTCAAAAACATGCAAATGTGAGTAGATAAATAGGTACCACTTCTGTGGGAAGGTAATGATGCTCCATGCAGTCATGCTGGCCACATGACCTTGTAGGTGTCTACGAACAATGCCGGCTTTTCGGCTTAGAAATGGAGATGAGCCCCCCTCCTCAAGTCAGACATGACTAGACTTAACGTCAGGGGAAACCTTTACTTTTGCCTATATATTCGCTTTGGATAGCATAGAGAAGGGTTAACAAACCTGTGGTTTTGTTTTGCTGTCTGTGACCCTGTTCAGAAAATTTCACCTTACTTTCTGTCACTGTGATAATTGGATTTTGAAAAAATTGGCTTGTTGTGGAAACAAGGATTGATGAGAAAACTTCAGTTATGACAGCTTTCCTCCGTGATAACACTTCCAGCTCTGAATTTCCCTTCCAAGGAGTTGATTCCTCTCACTTCCTATTGTCTCACCTCCGTTCTCAACTAGGAATCGTTTGTAAGTCAAATGCTTGTAACTGGGTGACTGCCTGTACTATTCATACGTTATAACTTCCACATAAATTAAGACAACACAGGAAAAACTCCTATTTAAAAGAAAGGAAACAACTGAATCTCTTAGCATGCTCATTTCTAAATCTCACACTGCATAGCTTAAAATGAGAGAAGCAAACGATTGATTCCTAAAGGACTACTTCTTCTATTTTTACTTTCTTTATTGTCAATGCACATCTTAAAATCTGTTGGAGCATGCAAGGAATCAGTTAATATGTGTGTGTCAACTGTAAAATAAGATGCATGGAGCTGATTGGTCGGGCAATACCCAGGAGCAGGGTGAGCCTGGAACTTTTGGATAGTTACATTTTTGTTCAGGCTTGAGCTATGCAGATGCAGAGAGAGACAGCTGCATGGAGTGGATTGGTCGGGCAATACCCAGGAGCAGGCTGAGCCTGGGACTTTTGGATAGCTATATTTTTATTCAGGCTTGAGCTATGCAAGTGCAGGGAGACAGTTGCATGGAGCTGATTTGTCGGGCAATACCCAAGAGCAGGCTGAGCCTGGGACTTTTAGATGGTTACATTTTTGCTCAGGCTTGAGCTATGCAGGTGCAGAGAGATACAGTTTTAAAGAGAGAAGCAGAGAGTTTGGAGTATACTCTCGCTTCATGAGCTGCCAATGACTTAAATCAAGAAATAGTTTTCTAAGATCTACAGAGACACTCGCTGGAACACCTCAGCAAGCGAGAGTCCAAAAGTGGCAGGCTCAAACCCAGAACCTCAATCAATGGCTGATACCAAATGAGAGACTCCCTCGTGGGCACACGGAAAACTGGGCAACTCGGAAGGTGCTGAACAGACTGTGCTCTGGCACCACGAGATGCAGGCCCAACCTTAAGAAATGGGGCTACAAAGTGGAATCCACGACATGCGAGTGTGGAGAAGAGCAAACCACAGACCACCTACTGCAATGCAACCTGAGCCCTGCCACATGCACAATGGAGGACCTTCTTGCAGCAACACCAGAGGCACTCCAAGTGGCCAGCTACTGGTCAAAGGACATTTAATAGAATACCAAATCTGCAAATTTTGAGTTTTGTTTGTTTGTTTGTCTGTTTTCTAATGCAATACACTGGTTTGGTTCACTCTGATATGATAAATAAATAAATAAATAAATAAATAGCTGCTGAAGGACTTTATCCATATGGACAGAGAAATATCATTTTAAGTCTCTCATAAAAGGACATTATGTGAGTTTATGCAACTGATCACATTGTACATATGCTGTTCTGAATTTATGAAGAGTAAACGATTTGTTCTTTACTTTTCATCTGCGTGGTATATTTTCTTTCTCTGGCAAGGCAGTGTGTGGGCTGATCAAACGTGATTACGCCACAAAATCTACTAATAGCACATGTCCCACACATGTCTTATTCACTGTTCTAAGGTGAAAGGAGCTTACTTCCAGTTTAATACACACAAAATTACCGTCTGGGAAAATCACTTTCATGTAAATTTCGAAGTGAAAATACAGCTAGGTCAGTATTACATATCAAAAATGATACTTCAAATGTATCAAAATGATGCTTTCAGAAAACCCATTAAAAAAAACCACCCTCACTTCTTTTCCACAACAGTGTCATGCTAAACCACATTGCGCCCAAACAAACGCGGTTATATTCCCTTAATACCAATGCTATATTGTTTAAAAGTAGAAAGTCAGCTTTTGTATGAAAAGAAGAAGACCAAGTAGCCGCTTCAGCTGCCACATCATAAAAGCAGTACCAAAATGAAAACCACGAATCCATCACAAATACAGACAAGGCTTTTATAGCTCTTCCTTATTCATAGCAAGCTGTTTCAGAAGCTACTGTTTTCTATTTATAGCTCTCCCATATTTTCCCGTGACTACAATTTCCTTTTACCAGAGAGGATACATTAAGAAAAGGAAACTACCTGAGCACAGCTCCTTTTAAACGAGACACTAGTGACTGTTTGGAATGATCAATAGGCAGAAATTAGTCACAGTTACATATGTTCATGTCCTGTGTGCAAAGAGATCTGGCAACACCTTAGAAATTAACTTCTTTAGATGTTGATCTCTAATCAAGGTTATGCTTCCAATTTCTTTTTCTCAGGTGCTACAAGCTCCTTTGCATACTGATATTCCAGACTGATCTATCTTACATTCAAGTCCTATTTATCTTACGGACAAGCACATGTAAACTTGTCCTACTGAATCCAATGAGACTATTTTATGTTTGACTAGCCATCCCCTGCCATGCGTTGCTGTGGCCCAGTCTGTGTATATGTGTTTTGTGTGTGTATATGTGTGTGTATATATGTGTGTTTGCGTATATATACATGTGGTTTTGCGCATGTGTTGTAATGTATTTTTTTTTAAAAAAAATTGGCTTTTAAAGTCTCTTCTGCTGTGTTTTTCCATTTTTATGAGTGTTGGCAGGCCATCAAATGCTAATCAAGGTGGTCAGTTGAAACATCACACCTAGCTCCAACAGACAAGAGTTCTTTGCCTCACCCTGGTCATTCCACAGACATATAAACCCACTTTCCAAGTTCCAATAGACCTCACTACCTCTGAGGATGCTTGCCATAGATGCAGGCGAAACATCAGGAGAAAATGCCTCTAGAACTTGGCAATATAGCCCAAAAAAACCTACAACAACCCAATAAATACTTTATTTATAGACCGCCCTCTCTCCCTGAGGGGACTCAGAGTGGTTTACATACAAGAGGCAAACGTTCAATGCCATAGCCAAATACACAGAAATCAAAATAATACAAAATAACATCGGTAAACTTATAACTAAAGAGAAAATGGAATTAAAATTAGAATAATAAGTATACAATATTTAAATAAACATAGTCACACTAATAATATATAATTACACGAAAAACACGTGCCATGAATTAAATGATTAAAATGTGAAAAAAATGCCTGACATCAGTTGTGATTTAAAACATACCATAGCAGCCATAAAATGTGAATAAATTAGCCAGTGTTCCAGTAAGCTTGGTCTAATCCTCCTCCTTTCCATATGCCTAAGTGCATAACTGTATCTTCAATTTTTTTAAGTAACAACCAGCACTTTGTATTTAGCTCGAAAACAGACCGGCAGCCAGAGGAGCTGCTGCAACATGGGAGTGGTTCTCTCCCTGTACGGGGCCCCAGTTAGTAACCTGGCTGCCAATCTCTGAACTAGTTGTAGCTTCCGAACTATCTTCAAAGGCAGCCCCACATAGAGAGGTTTGAAGTAGTCCAAATGGGATGTCACTAAGGCATGGACTATGATGGTAATGCCAAGATATGGGTGCAGTTGGTGCACAAGTTTTAACTGTGCAAAGGCGCGCCATGTTCCAGGGTCAGCAATGAGTCCAGGATCACCCCCAGACTGTGAACCTGTGCCTTCAGAGGGAGTGTTACCCATCCAGCACAGGCTGCAACCTTATACCCTGTTCTGCCTTACGACATTAGTTGCAAAACTATCTCCAGAGCTTCAGTTCTGCACAATGTCTTCAGAGTACTGGACTCACTTCCCTTTGCAGATCATACATAACTTTTTTAAAGGAGAGAACACTGATTTGGTAACTTAATATTAAGGAAAAACAGTTCTTACCTTAAAGAGGTTATGCATCGCTGGCAAAATCTGTGCCCACATCCTGTCTGATGAGGATTATGAAGGACCAGATGGCAACGGGTACATTTGTACCGATCTTCTAAGATTTCCACAAACTGATAGCTGGCATCAGGCTCAAAATCTAGAGAAACGGCATTGGTAGAGTTCTGCCGAATGTAGAAATTTGGTACTTGGCCTGCAAGGTCTTCCGAGGCCATGGACAAAGAACTGTATAAAAAGCAAGCAAGAGGAGAAAGGTATTGAGTGTATGCTGGTATGATCTCCATACACATTTATCTGAAAACATCTAGGGCAGAAAAGATTTGCTTTCCCATGACAGCGGTTTGCAGAACTCTTATGCAATATATTTTTTTATTCACAAGGTAGAACACAGGTGGAGGCAGCAAACTAACAGTTAGCAAATACCATTATTCTTCATGAGATACACCTCTGAATGATTAATTCTGTTTCTCTTTGCTGGTTATTACAATATATAGCTCTACCTATAGCTATTTTGGAAAGTTAGCTTGCAGTTTGGAAAGAGTGTATTCTAGAGAAGGGAGGGACTACTTCTCAAGTCCCAGCAGTACCTACAAAGAATAATGCTACATGCTCATATATAAAGGAGCCCCCGGGGTTAAAGTGCTGAGCTGCTGAACGGCAGGAAGGTAATAGCGCTTCATGAAGTCATGCTGGCCACATGACCTTGGAGGTGTCTATGGACAACGCTGGCTCTTCGGCTTAGAAATGGAGATGAGCACCAACCCCCAGAGTCGGACACAACTGGACTTAATGTCCGGGGAAATCCTTAACCTTTTCCAAACCTGCTCATATATAACTATAATCAAGACTATATGGGGGGGGAGATACGGATGTGATTCATGAGCTACACCTTCTATGTGGGTATATAGACTTGTTTACAGTCATGTTTTTAGTACTTTGGCAGTGCTGTGGCTCCAGCCCTCCAGATGCTGTTGGACTGCAACTCCCAGCAATCCTTCCCAGCATAATTGGGGAGGGTGGGATGATGAGACTGGAAATTTACATGATTCCCAACTCTGCTTTAAATGAATGATGCTCCCAGGCCACTGTAAGTACTCTTCTTCCTCCATCCACCAAACAGTAATGGTTATTTGCCTCAATTATAGGAAACAGGGCTGTTGACAGTATTATCCAATCCTATTATCAACAGAGGTTCAAGGAGTGGGGTGTGCAATTTTAAGTATCTGGATCCATTCACAACCCCTTTCCTACCAAGCAAGTTTTACAATAAACCAGATAAATAGGTTTATAAACAAGGCATAACATCAAACATTTACTAAAAATAAATCAGAATTTGCAAGGTTTGCTAAACAGCCTGATTTTCCCTTTTGTGGAATAAAGCTGATGCATTTTCTGCCAAGTACACTATAAATACAGCACGTTGTTGCTAACAGATTAATGTGGCGTTCAGAAATCTTTTATTGTTGCCATTTTTTTGTGACTCCAAAATTGAGCTAATGGACCAGGACTCACATTTTAAGAAAAAGAGCTCTAGATGTTGCTGGACTTCCACTCCCATCAGCCCTTGTCCACATATAAATTGAACTATATTGCCAATGTTATCAATACCAGCAGATCATTTATTTGAATATTTAATTTTCTCATTTTCTCCGAGCTAGCATTCCAGGAGACTCACAACATGTCAAAAGCAATACAAACAATATATTGGCAAGGCTTTCATGGTCAGAATCACAGGCTCGTTGTAAGTTTTTTTGGGCTGCATGGCCATGTTCCAGAAGCATTCTCTCCTGACGTTTTGCCTGTATCTACGGCAGGCATCCTCAGAGGTTGTGACAGCCCTATATAGAAGAAGTATAGAAATCCATGTGATCCTGTGAATGGTAGTTTAAGGTTTTTGAAAGGCCACAGTTAGCTTCTCCTTCTTTAAAGTAACCTAGGATCAGGAGTTTTTCTCTTCACAGACATCTGATAGGACTTAATAAAAATATGAATATAAAAATTTGGTAAGTAGGTTTAGAAGAAATTGTCATCACTCTACATGCACAAGCATGAAGAAATATATCTGAATATCTAATAAATACTATTGCCGCTTACAATTTTAAGTGCCATGTTTGTTAATGCTTCCAACGTAACATTTTTACTACAGATTTCCAATGAAAATGCAGCTTTGGCTACTGAGAAAGAGCAGCATATATCAAGGGACAATTTATGATGAATATGGTAATTCTACCTTCAATGAAAGTTGAAAAACTTGGGCTATTTAGTTAAACGATATGTTGCAAGGATTTCTTTTCTTTAAAATCTTTTCTATTTTAAAACTGAATGTTAGAGGGATGGAAAAACTGAATATCCCTCTAAGGAAAGTGGGTTGCTGTGATTTTACCAGGCTGTATGGCCATATTCCAGAAGCATGCTCTCCTGGCATTTCATCCACATCTATGACAGGCACCTCAGAAGTTGTGAGATCTGTTGGAAACTAGTCAAGTGAGGTTTATATATCTGTGGAATGTCCAGGGTGGGAGAAAGAACTCTTGTCTGTTTGAGACAAGTGTGAATGTTGCAATTGGCCACCTTTATTAGCTTTGAATGGCCTTGCAACTTCAAAGCCTGGCTGCTTCCTGCTTGGGGGGAAATCCTTTGTTGGGAAGTATTAGCTGGCCTTAATTGTTTCCTCTCTGGAATTCCCCTGTTTTTGAGTATAGCTCTTTATTTACTGTCCAGATTTTAGAGTAGATTAAGGAAAGGTTTCTAAGTATTGTTTTAACTGACTTATATTTTCTCAGAATGCTATCTAATGAGTATCAAAACAGTTACAAGAATTGTAATACTATGAAAAAGTACTACTTTGAAATTATCCTTCCCTCCTTTAGTTCCCACCTTTTTCTCTCACAGGTAAAGAAGAGCCACGTGTTTTAATTGCATACACCAAGATGTATCCACATTGCAGAAGTAGAACAGTTTCAAAAGTATGAAATGAAATGAATGTGAGTTATAAATAATGGCTTTTCTTGGGAAGTCAGACTTGGCCACAGCAGTCCACACTCTGGTTACATCCCAAATAGACTACTGCAATGCACTCTACATGGGGGTTGCCTTTGAAGACTGTTTGGAAGCTCCAATTGGTCCAATGGGTGGCAGCCAGACTGCTCACTGGAGCAGGGTACAGGGAGCACACAACCCCTCTGTTACGCCAGCTCCACTGGCTGCCAGTCTGCTTCTGAGCACAATTAGGGGCTTTATAGGTTTTAGCCTATAAAGCCCCTAAACGGTTCTGTCCCAGTGTACCTGTCCGAACATATCTTCTTCTATGAACCATCTCGGAGGTTAAGGTCAACCAGAGAGCCCCTGCTTTTGGTCCCACCTCCCTTGCAGGTGTGACTGGTGGGGGCGAGAGACAGAGCCTTCTCAGTGGTGGCTCCTCGACTAAGAAACTTCCTCCCCAGTGAAATCAGATCAGCTCCTTCCTTCCTGGCTTTCAGAAAAAAGGAAAAACTTGGCTATGGGACCACATCTTTGGGCAGTAAGCAATACAAGGAATGATCAGGGATTATATGCAATTGATATTTGACATTTGGAATGGCCTTGGATCATAATTTTTGGATTACGAGATTTTAATGTTTATATTAATATGTTTTAACTCCAGGTTTTAATTGTATAAATGTTGTTATGTTTTTATGATCTAATTGATAGTTATATGTTATGGTTGCTCTATTTATTTATTTCGTGTACTTCTACCCCGCCCTTCTCAACCCCCAAGGGGGGACTCAGGTTGCGTTTTATATGTATGTGACACGTTAAATTTTGCAACAAATATGTTGGAAACCGAAGCGGTATACAAGTGAAGTAAATAAATAAATAAATGCAATTTTCAACAAATTTTTCTGGAATATACTGATCCAACTGGTTAAAATGCCTATTTTCTACATAACTCAACTAATGCACACTGATGCAAAACAATCATGACATTGGGCCATGAAGAGAGGTAGGTAACAATTATTATTATTATTATTATTATTATTATTAGAAACACAACAAGATGAGTCCACAGCAGACACTCTGCTGGCTGTTGCACTGGATCACACGTCAGATACTTCCCAAGTGTCTAGGACTGTGTGATGTCTAGGCGAATAATGCGTGCAGATCGCAGTAAGGTGGCCTTCAAAGCTGGCAGATGGTAATTTTGTCAGCGCCGATTGTGTTTAAGTACAGGCCAAGGTCTTTAGGCACTGCACCCAGTGTGCCGATCACCACTGGGACCCATTGACTGGCTTGTGTCAGAGTCTTTGCAGTTTGATCTTTAAATCCTCATATCGTGTCAGCTTTTCCGGTTGTTTCTCTTCAATCCTGCTGTCACCTGGGATTGCAACATCGACAATCCATACGTCGTTGTCGTTATTATTATTATTATTTCTAAGGCCATATAATATGCAGATTTTAACCTTCACAGCTCCACAAACACCATCTCTGTAAAATAATGTTTTCACACTGTCTCATCCCTAGAAATAAGAATCCCAGTAATATACTGGGCCACTTAAGAGCATGGCTGAATTGTAATATCGCTTTATGTTGATTTCTCCCCGCTCCAAGGATGCATTTTACACACAATCTTCCAGGTGTCAGTATAAACAGACACCTACTATAACCATCACTCAGAGTAACACAGTCCTAAAAAAATGCAACTTTTTTTCAGTTTGCGTTAGAGTGATGTGAAATACAAACATTGTACAAGAGACAGGAAACATATAGTCTACTATGTTTTTACAGATTTCCTGTCGCAAGCCCAACTCATACCAGTATGACATTTTACTTCCCCAGAAAAAGCATTTTTCCGCAGTATTTTGCATTACCATTTTGCATGACTAATGCAGGTGAGCAGGATGAGGAACTCTACGCCAAATCAAAACCTAACATCTAGCAAGTGATTCACCCTTGCAAAAGGTCACTACTATACTACTCCCTTTCACTTCCTATGCCTCAGAAGCCTAATTGGGAAAAAATACAATTTCCTTTGCTAAATTCAATCATAGGTTTGCATAGAATTCCAGCCTAATTAGAAGATTACATGTTATTTTCAAATACCTTGGGAATAGCTTGTGTGATAATGCCAAGTACTATTTTGCCAGAATTCAAATGTAAACGATGCACGATGTTGTGACTGCCTTTATCTATCCCTTCATGGTTAAAGTCTTTGTGTACTTTTTTGGTACAGCCTCAGGCCAATAAAA